TCCTGTTTAAGCGACTTGCAACACTGATTTCTCATGTTTCAAATGTTATTCTGGTTATGTCACAATGGCTCCAGTCTATTCTGTGTCTGCTTGATTCAGTAACACTCCTGGAAGATGACAAGAACCATTACTGCATTCACCGGCCACCTATTACAGGCAGGGGACAAAGCCAGGAGTTGGAGGACTGTTAAAGGGAAAAAGTCCTGGTAGGTGCTCTAGGGGGGAGCTCGGGGTGGTGAATAGAGGGCATCAAGCTTTCAATGAGGTGGAAAGTGAATGGTCTCAAAGTATTGGAGCAAAGAGGTGTATCTTCCTGCTGGGAGAATTCCAAAAGTTTTATAGGATCTGGGCATTAAAAAGATGACAGGATTTAGAGAAGAGGATTAAAACGGAGAACTGCAGATAGAGAAGATGTGCTTCTGAGGTCCTGACATCAGCACACTGATCTTTAAACTTTATCAAAATTCTCTGCTGGCATACATTTTAAAAATTCTAATATATCCCCCTGAAAGAAAGAGAAAGAAGTTGTCCCAAAGACAAGGGACTGAAAGACACAAAGCCAACTTTTCCATACACAAACATTTGTTGGACGTATATTACATGCCAGTTACTATGCTAGGTACTGGCGATACAAAGAGAAGAGTAACTTTGTATGAATTTGTAATAGAGTTTAAAAATTAGATGTCTCTGTAAATCGGTGGTAAAATGTTTGCTCCACAAACATATGCTACTGTATACTTTCTTCTAGGAATTTAAAGAATTCTGCAAAGAATTCCATTCTATATTATTTTCAGGAAAAATCCAGAATAAGACAACATAAAATAGAATGACATGAATATGGACACACACACACTATACAATCTCATTCAATAAGTCAGATTTAATTGCATAATAGAAGAGACACAGAATGCCATTCTCTCTGAAAGAATCAGGTTGCCTGGATACACCATACCTAGGGCACTGGGGCTGCATCTCTTAGCCCCAGGACCTCAGCATGCACCTCCTTCACTTGCCCCTGCTGCCAGGCCATTCACAGAAGTTTCTCCCCAGGTGGCTTCTTTGTCTCCTCCTACCTCCCAAATCCCACTTTTTCATTATTCACCCCCACTTTGTTGTACCTTCCCTGCTCCATCTGAATGGTCTAAGAAGTCTACACACCTTTTAGCTCAACCAAAAGCAACTATAGCAACACAATTATTAGGCCATGTGTGCAGTATCATCTCAGAAAAGAAATGTTAGATGCCAGTGAAAATGATAGGTCGTTGTAAATTGGAAGGAAATGTAGGTATTTCAATATGATAATCACCACCTATTTCCAGAGTTATTTTTCTGATTACTCAGAATTCTAATATAGATGACGAAAGGATCTTTAGGACATGTTTTGAACATGTCATAACAAAATGCCAAGAACATACAGGTATTTGCGCACAAACACATACACGTACACAAAGGAAAAAGAAGATATGGGTATTTATTGAAAGGAAAAAATAGAAAAGATTATGACAATTATACAAATATGAACATAGTACAGACATGTTGCACAGAGTTAATTATAGAGTAGAAGAACCCATGGAAACAGAATGTTCCAAAAGATAATAATGTCTGTTTTTTTTCTCCTTATATTACTATATGATATATTTCTTTCCATCACAGCAAACATCAAATTTTTTCAACTCTCAGTGCTCAAATGCAATACATTAGACCACATGCAACAATAAAAAGAGAAAAACCCAGATCRTTTCCAAATCAACTGGAAGCAATTTATTTAGAAGACTGAGCTTTAAAAATTATTTGAAGTTCAGAAATTTAAATTTTAAAAAGTTGATAATATAATTGATTTTTCCTAGGGTATTTAGAAAATTTTCAATATTATATTTTAGGAGAAAACCCAATAAAATATCTTGGAAATGCCTGGGGAGGGTCAGAAGAATGCACTAAAATGCACTGTACAATATTATACTGTTTCTACCAAAAGTACGGTTTTCTGTGGTAATTGTTCAACATTTTCCATATATATACAAATCAGTTTAAAACACAGGGTAACTTGTTTTCAAAGTTATTAAAACAAATACTTTTATCAAAATAGCAAACAGGAAAAATTTATAAACAAAAATCATATGAACCTCCAATTAAAATAATTATAAATTATAGCAAAATTTCATTTCTTAGCTTTGGAAAAGGCATGTTAGAAATTCAAATAGTCAAATAAATCAGAGATGATGTAGAATTAGACATCTATTATATGATTCCTAATTTCTAAAATTACTTATTTCTTTAACAAGGTTAAAATTATAAACCAGAACTTTACATTTAATTTCCATGTAATGGAAAACACTTACAGATATTTGATGTAAAAATGTTCCCACATGAAATACATGTTATATGACACTAGGAAAACTTTTGTTTTAAGTCACAACACAATAGAGATAAAACCATGAACTCTAACTTTAAAATACCTGTAAGATTAKTTTGAATTGTAACGACAGAATATCTGATATGTGGTAAGAAAATACTGGGTCCAGTCATTACTCTCGAATACTGTGTTTTTGTTCATAGAAGACTCCTAAACAAAGGAGTCGGAATTTGGTTCACAGTTCATAAACTTTGTAGAAATTTTGTTATGATAACCTGTATCCACAGAGGAAGTTATCCATAAACAAAAACCATCTGATATTTACTAATTTTGTACAATCCATTGTAAAACTTCCTTGAGTCTGAATTTTTTACCAACTGGGATTTAATGTGAACCATAACCAGGGAGAGAGAACAATGATAAATTAACATAAAACATAAACTATGCCAGAAAAAGAAGAGGACAGAGAGTTAACACCTGCTATTACATACATAATTAAATAAAATGACATTTTTTTACATTGCCCAAGTGATCTAAAACCTAACTCATCGAAATTTTAATCTAGTAATGATTGTTGTCAAATCCAGTAATTAAAAATACTACCCAGTGTAGAAATGACACTCTTCTGTTAACTTTAAAGATTTTTACAGCTTAATGTTTTTAAAACAAATTATTTACTCAAATAAATTCTTGCCATCATGTGTTGGTTCCTGTAACTATTTATTGGTCATTATTTCTTGATATATAAACATATTAATTACTAGCAAGCAAATCTTGTTTTAAAAAGCCTTAATAAGTGGGCACAATTATCAAAATGGAAGATTCCTATTTGTATCTCTAGTTTGAAGTCCAATTAGTGATTTGTAGTCATTCAATATTTTATGTAAAGATAAACTCTAATTTGCTTTCTTAAATGTATAATATAAAATGATAGACAACAAATGCAAAATTTATTCAGAAACTGGATTTAATTTTAGAAGATATGCTCTTAAACACAAATGTATTTTATAAATTTTATAAATCTTAAGCTTAAAGATATAATTATTCACCTTTATTATTTAAGAAAAATTATTATAATGCAATGCAAAATGTTTGTTAGTGGAAATGCATCAATTCTTATTTCCCTAACCTTTCTTCACACTGCAATACAGAATTAATTTTATAAAGGCAAAAATTTGATCTGCAATGAAATTGGTGATGTGGTTTATAATTCAAAAAAAGCAAAAGATTTATACAGAATGTTTCCAATTCAAACCAAATTTTATTGGGTTTTTGTTTTTCTATAAAGCACCAAAATATTTCTATTTTCTTCTTGCTTTTTTCTTTTTTTTTTTTCCTTTTTTTTTAGTTTTGCTTTAAGATGTTTAAAAAGGGTTTCAAATGTTCTACAGATACAGATTTTGGAGAACACTGAATTATTTCCCCAAAGATAGCTATTTTACTTTATTGTAGGATGTTTTGAAGACTTTTTCCCCCTTCAAAATCTCATTTTCACCTGAAATAATTGCATTCAGCTCTTCTCAGCAGGTACAATATACATTTTTACAAGGTTTCACATTTCAAAATTTCAATAATGCACTTAAACTAAGCACTCCTCTTTGTGTGTGTGTGTGTACACGTGTGTCTATTATCTTGCAGTTCTGTTATTTACACTAAATTTTAGTCTTTTTAGCTCCTCAAAAATACCTTAGTGAACCCTCAGCAGTTGCTAACCACTTAATAATTGTGACCCCGCCAGCCCCTTCAAGTAGATCGTTAACCACAAGAGTCCTATTTCCAAACCATAGCCTCTGTCCAAAAGGAAAAGATAGGGCTTTGTGAGGCCGAAAGGAAGCGAAGGAAAACAAAACAAATGTAGTTCATGCTGAAAGTGAAAAGTGCTTGGACAGATTAGTATTTTCTTTTCTACAAGGCATCCTGCCAGACTTTTTTTTTTTTTTTTCTTAATAGAAAAGACTTGTTTTTTGGTCTGATTTTTCGGTTTCTTGGAAAGTGTTGGTATTTACCACCCCCACGGGCTCCTCATAATTATTGTTGATTGTTTTGTGTTTTTTCCATCCGTCCACATCACAGACCGCCGATACCCCCGCCTCACCCTGTCAAAACTCCAACTCTGGGCGACCCTGGGTGTGGAAACTCTGCCGACTCCCGACGACACCTCCCACCCTTACCCACTCACGCCGCTTATTTTAGTCGCGGGATCCCCCACTCCAGTTGCAGTGAAAACCGGAAATTTTCATTTACCCCCCCCCCTCCCCGCCTCCCTTCTCGCCCCCTATTCCGAGCGGACTGCTGGGGAGCTGGGAGGCTCTGAGCACGGCCGGGGCTCGGCCGCCTCCCCCCTCTCCGGAAGGCTTTAATTTGCACACTTGCTTGCCACCGCGCCGCGGAGCCCCTGGCCCCGCCGCCCGGTGGGTCTCGGGCAGAGTACGCGTCGCGGGTCCCCGCCTCCGCCCCTGCCGCGCGGCCGCCCCCATCGCCTCCCCAGCTCGGGCCCCCAGCCCCGGCCGCAGCCCCGAGGCCCCCGTCCGCCCCCAGCGAGCTGCGCGGGCGGCGCCCTCCGCGGTCCCTCCGCCCTCCGCCGTTGTGCCCACCCCCTCGCCCTCGCCGGAGAGAGTGCTGGTGACTCCTTCCCCAGTCTGGTTACCTGCTCCGCGCGCGGTGGACACGTGCGGAGGTCTGAGTGACACTCGTAGCCCCCTCGGGAGGCCCGACGCGCCTGGGCCCCTCAGGTGAGGAGCTTTGGTCTCTGGTGGGTGGGCTCGGGGTGGGGGGTCCCAGGGGACATCTGGGGGATTGCTAGGGTCGGAGGCAAGAATGTGGGTGGGGGCGAGTGGGGGGTGGGGGGAAACTGTGTGTCCTCGGAATCGACTTTGGTTAACCCCTTACGAACTGAGATGGGGTAAGTTACGGGGGGCTGGGTTTGGGGAGCTAAAAGGAGTTTTATCTAATCTGGCGGGAGGGGGACATCCCGCACTAGGACACCCCGATACCAAGATCCTGTGCCAGCTCCCACATATCTGTGCGCACAAACACCCACACATACACTTCTCATCCAACTTCTCCAAACGGAACTTGAACTCTACTCGGACATTCACATAATAATCTACATTCACCGTGTAAAATGCACTGCCTCTGGGGACTCCATGCTGGAGAACGTGTTTCCGTGCCCCCCAAATTATTTCCCCAGGAAAGCTCCCTCTGCAGCTTGTTGAGGTGTGGGTGTGGGCTCCATCTTCCCCACCATGAAATAAATGTTAACGCGGGCTTCCTGCTGGCAACCCCGCGGGCGTGTTATGCACAGAGGAGTGCACGCAGCCGACCAGTGCCCAAGCTTTCAGCCCCGCGAGGACACACGTTTGCTTTAGTTTCCAAGTTTATTTTTATTACTTAAAATATCGAAGTTAAAACGCACGCCCGCAGCGAGCAGCTCCGGGCCCGCAGCGCGCTGGTCCGTGTGCACGTGGGCGCATCTGCATGTGCGCACACGCGGGAGTCGCGGTCCCCGGTGCGGCCTCTTCTCGCTGCGCTGGTGGCGACCCTTGCGGTGCTTGGCAGGCTTCGGGAGAGGCACATGAAGGATTTCATTGAGTGTGAAGACAGAGAGCAGAGACAGAAAGCAGAAGGAGGCGGCTGCAGCCTTTGTAGTCGCGGAGGAATGCGGAAATGTTGAAGCACTATGTCAAACTTTTTTGAAATGGGGTCAAGTCACATTCAGCCAGCGTGGGAAAGCAACAACAACAACAAAAAAAAGTGGAGGAGAGGGGGGGAAAAGGCATTGCTGCTCCCGTTTCCCTCTGCTGAAGCCGACCATCCGCGAGCGAGGGGGGAGAGCCAGCGCGGGTGGTGCGGGGCCGGGCGGGGGCAGCGGGCGCAGTTCCCTGCGGGGGTGGGACGTCCCCGACGCTTCCTTTGCGGCGGGGCCCAGGGCTGGACTCGAGCGGGAGGGGGAGGGGGACGTGGGAGGGGAGGACTGGGCGGCCGCCGGCTGCTCCCCCGCTACCTGTGTGGCCCTCGACCTGGCTCAGACCCCGGGGCAGGCTCTGGGGGCTCTTTCCTCGGCTTTTAAGGAAAGTTTTGAAAAGAGTAAGTGTTGAGAGGCCCTGCCCTCGCTGCGGTCCGCTCCGCCCGCACACCGTGGGGGTCGCGCTATTTGTTTTTTCTTTAATTCCTGGCAGAAGGCGAGCGGCCCGCGGTTGCGGGGCAGGTAACTCCGAGGTGTCYTGGGAATTCTGGACACGTTGCTAGCGTGGCGAATGTCCGGCGGTGGCTGAGGCGCCTGTGGGGGAGGGAGTTTCCCTACGTCCTGTATAGGGGAGGGAAAGTTAGGGTACCCCTTTCAGGCACTTTGTTGTGCAGAGGGTTCTGGGGATTGGGGGCGCCCAGCTGAAGACAGGACCTGGMCCAAAGGGCAGTGGAGCAGCCACCCGCGCTACTTCTATCAGGACGACCCTGGCAGTGGGGAAAGGTTCCTGAGTCCGGGTACCCTCGGCACAGCCCCCTCTCCCTCACCCTAGGAGCCATAGCCTTTACTACCTCCACCCCCACCCTTTTTAGGGAGGTGGCGTTTTGCTCTGGTTGAAATCAGAAAACTTCAAGTCAAGACACGGTTATGGTGTCTTCTTCCTTAAGTTACTCTTTTAAGGACACGACAAGCGAAAGTGTGGCGAACATCCCTTTCTCCCACTCTTGGGCTCCCGTGGGGGACTCCCCCCCTTCCAGGGCCTCTCGTCCTCCCACCCCAAGTAGCCCCAGCCCTCCCCAACCCGATGGTTGTCTTCCCTGGGTTTCCACCAGGGAGGTCCTCCGAGTCGGAGGAGAATTCCATTTCCCACCAAGACTCCTTTACCCCCCAAAGACCATTTGCGTGTGCGAATCGTTTTTAAATGTCTCCTCGAGGAAAAACTGAAAGTAGAAAGAAAGGAAGCAATTTCCGAGCAGATGTCTGACCACCCCTTTTCGCACACTCCCAGCATCGGATTACAGGGTCCCGAGAGCCCCCACCCACATTCTGCGGCCCCAAACGGGTGGACCCTCAGTCCGTTCACACCACATTGTGCATGGTCCCTGAAGGCACCAGGACCCCCACTCCCTGTACTTCCAGGTCCCAGGAGGCGAGGAGGRTAGCCGCGCATACAATCATAAAGGTATAAATATTAAGCCGTGACATTGACGTCCCCAGCGCCTCCCTCCCCCCCGCGCTCCCAGCACACTCTGGGCTGCTCGGCACGCCCCCTCCCGTTCCACTGCGTCCCGCGCGGCGCGCTCATCCCCGAGGGGCCCCTGCAACCTCTCCTCGCGAAGACGGCTCCAGCCCTGTAGGGAAAGAAAAGTAACTTCGCTTTTCTCGGTGAAACCAGGAAGGATTAGGAGGCTTGGAGAAGGCCGGAGCTCGCSGAGGGTAGCGACTCGGGCTTCATGAAGGAGGAGGAGGGGAATCTAGAGGAACCCCGTGGAAGGCTCCTGGGATGTCTGATTGCACTTTCTTGTTTTCCCGTCTTCTCTTTTAGGTGCAAAGATTGTGGACCGAGACGCGTTCGGACAGAGACTATGTAATCGGTGCGGTGTCTGTGTAGAGGACTTCGCTTCGGGGAGGGAAGAGGAGGGATCCACTCGCTCCTCCGGCGGCGACTCGGCAGGCGGAGTTTCGCGGCGGCACCAGGGTTACGCCAGCCGGCGGAGAGGTCGCTCCATCCAGTCCAGCGGCCGCGAGAGCCCCTGAGTCCGAGCGCCGGAGCCAGCGGGGGCGAGGGCGAGCAAGACCGAGCTCCGGGAGCACCGGAGGAGACTAGCGAACCAACCGCACCCCCGCCCGCCCCAGCTGCGCCGTGCCGGGAGGCGTCAAGGCGACATGGAGAAGGACGGCCTGAGCCGCGCGGACCAGCAGTACGAGTGCGTGGCGGAGATCGGGGAGGGCGCCTATGGGAAGGTGTTCAAAGCCCGCGACCTGAAGAACGGAGGCCGGTTCGTGGCACTGAAGCGCGTGCGGGTGCAGACGGGCGAGGAGGGCATGCCGCTCTCCACCATCCGCGAGGTGGCGGTGCTGAGGCACCTGGAGACCTTCGAGCACCCCAACGTGGTCAGGTGAGCTGGGTGCAGCGCCCGCACCGTCGGGGGCAGCGCTTCTGGTGAGGCCAGGCCGGGGATCCTCGGACTTAGGAAGGTTCCAGGCAGGGGGGCTGGGGAAGGCCAGGGCCACCCGTCSATCTGACTGAGTAAGTTTTGTTGCCAGAGCCGGTGACCTTACCAGCCAGAAAGACCAGTCAGAAAAAGAGACCTACGCAGGCTTCCCCCGCTGCTGGGCAGTTCCGAAGCCTGTACTGAAGGGGATCCAGGGGAGTTGGGTGCCTTTTAGGGACGTGGAACCTACCAACTCGAGGCACTCCCCGCCAGCCCCCACATATTTTTCTCTGCCATGGGGAATTTTTGAGAAACTGAAAATGAGTGAGAAAGACAACAAGTTGCAGGTGATAATTAATAGGTCGGGACTTTAAGGGTGGAGCCTAGGGTAAGTACCGCTTTAAAGAAAATGAAGAAACTCAAGAACATGTTTACCAATCACACCCAGTTTCTTTTTGTTAAAGTTTCATAATAAAAGTGGGTTCTGGTGGTCTAAGGAATTTCATTGCTGATGATCAGTGTCAAGCAGCGTCATTTAAAAAATGTCTTCCAAAAACTGTTACCTGTTTGTCTGACTTCATATCTCTGGACTGACACAGTCCTTAGATTCCCTTTCCCAAGGGTTASATGTGAGTCCATGTTATGGTATCTTTAAATTCCTTGCTTTCCTTGGACTGGTCCTGCAAGTTGGTGGGAAGACAGCAGTTAACAGTCTCTCTTGTGAGTAGTAACCAGTATTAAAAGAAAGTGTGTGGACTTAGTATAATGGTGTTCTCTTGGTGATCCTGGAATTTCCCCATTGTGTGGTTGTGTCATCCCTTTCTTTTTAAACAGATGCATAGCTTCATAGCTTCAAATCGAAAAGAAGTGGACAGAAGCTTCTTCAAATTGGGTTGTGATTTTACCCTTTTCAGCTCTTTACCTTCAGTGTGTTGGAGAAAGGAGATCCTGGGATCTTCTTGTCTACTCATCCATCTAGGTATCCTGTTGAGCGACTGCTTGCCTACCGTGTGACCTCCATGAAATTATGTAAATAAACACAGCTAAATATTCTTGTAAGAAGTCAAACAGTTTAACATTAGTCCTCAAAATGAAGAGACCCAAGTCTGACCTTTGAAATACCAAGCCCTCTGTGGACTTAGGGAGACCAAGTGTCTAYGGAATCTCCCTGGGAGGTTTTAACTTGTCTCCTCTTATCCTGGGCTGGGTGATTTGTGTGGTGTTTTGTTCCCCACACAGTGAGAATCAGGGGAAAAGACAGCAAAGAATCATAAATACATAAATAAGGTAGTCAAGGGCAATAGAGAGAGGACCCCCATTATACCTCCATTTTAGCTAGTCAAGTGGCGGGAGGCAAAAGATAATGAGACTGGGAGGAGTGTTTAGGAAAATGGAATTTATGTAAAAGCAATAATTACCTTTTGTATATTTGTTAAAAAGCAACAATAACCCTCTGGGGGTGGTCTTTGTGCCATTGGAGGGAAAGAAGAAGGGTACCTTTAGCTCCCTATAACTTAGTTATCGTCCCACAGGAATCACTGGAGCTCTCTCAAAGGATGAATTCTACCACTAGAATTTTAAAATCAAAGTTCTCACTTTATTGCCCRTTATCTATGGAGTGTCCAATTAAAGTTGATCATCATGTCTACAAATAAAGTAACCCTACCATGAAAAGCAGTTAAAGAGGCATTCCTGTGTATTATTATAGTTTACAAAGTRCAGTCTATTCTTATAACAGATGAAGGCTGCTTTTCTATTGTGCTGGTAGATTTGGCTGATCTCTCCCATTGTGATTTATCCAGTTTTAAGTGTGGCTTTGTTTTTAGAGAGTTCTGACTGACCCATGACTTGGATTCTGAACTGTGAATTCTGGAAGGATGTATTTATGAAGTGAAGATGAAGGCATAGTTTTCTAAAATTATGTTTATCTGTTAAGTGATAAGGATGACTCTTACTTCTTGGAGTTGGGAGGATAAAATTGAGATAATGTATGTGAAAGCACTTTGTAAATTTTAAAGTACTTTGAATATCTGAGCATTTGTATTCCAATAGGTTAGTATAGGACCCTTACCCTTAAACAGGTTCCCAGGAAGGCCTCAATTTACCTTTTTTTTTTTTTTTTTTTTTTAAGAGCAAATCATATTCGAGCACAGACTTTGTGGGCTTTGGAACCAAGAAACTACTTAGCCTGAAGCTTTTCAGAAAAGGCCATCAGTCATATGCTATGAAATCAGTGACACTTGAAATTATTGATGAGGTCACTCTCACGAGCTACAGATCTCTATTCCCTTTTTGTTTCCTTCCTGTTTTCTTCTCTTCCGCCTTTGCCTTGGGGTAACCACTGTCCCCAGTGACTTGCTTGGCCAGACTAGGAATTCCGAATTTTAGAGGTTGCTAATATATTTTCAGAAAGGCTCAGGAAATCAAGAACAAGTGACAACAGTCCTTTTCCTTCCAAGGCAGAGTGTCAAAGTTGGCCTCCAAAACTGTGATTTGTTGTTGTCCTAGGATAAGTTTTACAGCCTTATACTTGGTTCTTTAAATGTTGCTTAAAAGGGCAGATGCCTTTTTAAGTGCCTTCAAGTCATAAGTAATTGATCATAATTATAGGCCCTTCCCACAGATAGTTAAGCCTCTAAGCTTGAAGGAATGCAATAAACATATTAGCTTTTTTTTCCCAAAAGTTTAAGATCTAATTTTGGTGGATTTGCCAGAAAAACTGACTTGTTATTGCTGGCACTGGTACTCTGCGCATGCACAGGGATARTGATTTGAAATTTTTGCTTACCTGCACTTGATGTCTCCCAGGCCCATGCTTGATCAGCCAGTGTCGGAGATGTAAATTTATTCTTAATTTTATAGCTGATAGTCCCTAATTCTGGAGCCTTTGTCAGAAGCAGACTTCAGTCTGAACTTATATTGAAGCCTCTGCATTCCATGAATGAGTTCTATTTTCGATCATGAACTAAAATATATAAAGAGATAAAAACAATAGTATGTTTTATCAGCACTCTGTTTATTCACCCAATATTTATTTAGGACTTACTGTGTGCCAGACACTTGCAGAAGCTGGGGGTATAACTATGAACAAGTTAGAGGAAGCCTCTATGTTTGTAGAACTTGCATTGTAATGAATGAGAAGCTCGTTTTTTCTTTAAGAAAAAATTCACTTGTCTTTATATCAGTCGCTCTTTTTTGCTATGTTTAACCTAAACAGTTTTATAAAGCAACTAATATTTGTGATAATTTAGCTACCAGAAAACTGCTGATTGAGTAGGCAAGTTAACAAGTTAACCCTAATCAGAATCAAACACTTTTTGAAGATTAAATTTCAGCCTAGAGATATACAGATCAACTTATATAAAGAGGCATTGACATGCAACTAATATAGGTGAACATTTGAGCTCCATTTATTCAACAAGTGTTTAGGAAGGACCTTCTCTTTAAAAACCATGGGTCTAGGTGCTGGAAAGACACTGAGTAAATCACACCTGGCTGTCCTCCTCAAGTTTTCCCTGTTGGAAGAAATAAAAAGTTCATCATAAAATGGATAGCATCATGTGCCACAAGTGAGATACAGGTAAGTGCTACCTGTATTGTCCTCAAACATTAAGTCTATTAGTGTAAAAGCCAAATGGTTCAAGTTCAAGTATTGGTTCTAGAAACTAAAGGTTACTACATATTAGTGGTTAGATTTTAATATTTAAATGTCTAAATATGTTAAATTATCTTTCTTAGAATATTTAGTCACTGCTTTAAAACAAAACAAAGAACAAAGTAAAAGCTGTGCAGCACAATGATTATTCAAGGAAATTTTTCAAAATTTATTTTTTTTAAGTATCTCAATAATATATTGTGTAAAAATAGTATGTTTTTGTGGTTTTGTTTTTTTTTTTGTTGTTTGTTTGTTTTTTAGAAAAAACTTCATCATTAACAGGGTAGAAGAAATATGACATAATTTGACTCAGAGTAAAGCCCAGTCTTTGGGTCTTTGGGTGAATTAGTTCATAAGACTCATTATGAATTAAAATGTTATTTTGTAGGTAAATAATAATTTTATTAGAATTTATTTCAGTGAAAATGGGAAAAGCAGTTAAAAATCTCCCTTTAAATTCTAATGTTAAAAGTATATTTGTTTCTTCATTCTTTGAGTTTCTTGGAAGTTTCCCAATTTATCAAGGTTGCTTAGTAAATRAACGTTTTCACAGTGAATGGAGTTCTTCTCATTCCTTGTTTCTTCAGAGGAATTTGATAATGCTGAATATTTTACTTGGCAGTTGTATCCTTTTTATGTAACTATTAACATCATGGAATTATTAGAATTTCTCAGTGGAATCAAGGAGAAAATAGGCTATCAGAGGGAAACTTGAATATCTTCTGGGACACTTTCCTGTGTTTAAGASTTGGGTAAATGACAATAGAAATAGACTCCTTGTTAACAGTACATTATTCTGTTTTTTGAAAAAAAATATGCCTTGCTATTAATGATTCCTTGGGAATTTTGTTTTAAGAAGGAAACACCTAGTACCTAGACTATATCATTGTAAAATCAAGGATATTAGGGTTTAGAAGACACTTGGTAAATCTTTCAGTCCTTTCATGTTACAGATAGGAAACTAAAGCCTTAGAAGTCAAGGAATTTGTCTGTTATGCCATTAAAAAGTCAATAACTTGTGTTCTTAAATCTAAGTATCAATTAAAACATTTTTGTTCATTTTTTTGATGGAAAAGGTAAATCAAATAGTGCATTTCTAGTTTGAAGAAAATTAATTATATGAAGATAAAGGTGATAGTTTTCCAGGAATAAATATATATATCAGTTCAGGAAATTCCTGAAGTCTATAGTATGAGGCAGTACTGAAGTATATCTGTTAAAATGTATGATGATTATTCCATTAAATTCTGCTTTAAAAAATTTGGAGTTAAGAACAATGGCATACTCATAATCCCTACAACTCAGGAAG